TTCCAAAAAAATCTTTTTTTTTCCTTTAAAAAACAACTTTAGAAAAAAAAAAAAAAAAAAAAACATTGCAAAGGTACTTCAAAGATGGAATATCTAATTTCTATCAAGAAATAAATTTAGTTGTTAAGAATCCAAATAAAATTCTAAATTAGGTGAAAGAAAATATAAAATGAAGTTCACTTTAGAATTAAGGAAGGTGTGGTAGAAGGGAGGGGAGGATTAGTAAAATCAAGGATTATTTTGATAAGATTGAGAATATTTAAAAAATAAACAGGACAAGAAAAGTAAGTTTATTTTGTGTGTGTGTGTGTGTGTGTGCATTGTTTCTGTTATCCAAAATAAGGCCTTTTAAGTAAAGCATTAAGATAGCTACGGAAGGGAACAAATCAGGAAAAAAGGATAAACCACTGAAGTAGATACAGAGCATAGATACGATCTTAAGAGGTTTTCTTGTTAAGTGTCTCCTGTTAGCCAGAGCAACATATCAAACCAATTATTCACCGGGAATCATTCTAACAATATAAGGGTATCTATTCAATGAGTCATAGCTGGAGGGAGAGAAGCTTCATACAGTAATGTGCCCATGAGCTCCTTGCAGTTAGTGCCTCTCCTATTCACTACGTCTTTTTTTTCTATTAGACATAGGAAAAGCATATTGATACTAAATTTTATTCTAGGCTGCATATGACCACTTCATTTTGCCATGATCTTTTTAAATTTCAGCATGTTCTTTTTTTTTTTTTTTTTCCCTTCAAGTATAGACAGGAATTCTCTAACAGGATCAAAATGTTGATCCCACTGATAAAAATATTTTATATCAAGCCTATAAAGAACTCCTTTAAAATACCACCTATTCTATCTCTTGGGCCTCAGACTGAGCTGACTCTAAACCATTACTTTAGATACCTCACTGTTATAACTTTAGTTCCTTTAAATTTTTATGTGAATATTGAAACAAAAAGAGAAATATTTTTCTTGACACTGAGAATCACATATATCCTGACTGACAGCTTACTCTTAAGACACGACAAACAAAAGCATTCAAATTATAAAAGTTTGATTTGCTGCTATGATTAACAACAGTTCCATTTATAAATCATGTAGTTGTTGTTATGTGCCGTCGAGTCGGACCCAACTCATAGCGACCCTTCCTTGGGTTTCCAAGGCAGTATCACTACAAGAGTAGATTGCCCAACCTTCCTTCTAAGGAGTGGCTGGTGGGTTTGAACCACCAGCCTTCTGGTTAGCAGTCAAGTGCCTTAGGCACTATACTACCAGAGCTCCCTATAAATCATACTGCTTAAAATTATCAGCAATGAAAAAAGGAACCTTTCCTTGTAAAGAGGAAAGTTTCTCAAAGAAAAACCTTTTATTTTAAGGTATAAAACAGTTATATAGATAACAGTTCCAGAAAAGCAACATGAAAAAGCCAAGTCCTTACCTTACAAAAGAACTGGACATGAGTCCAATGAATCCAACTGCAGCACCCACAACAGCTGTTTTCCGACAACCAAATATGTCTGTGAAGACACTGACTATTGGACAGCAAAAGAAAATCATTCCCATGGACAGAGAACCTACCCATGCTGCAAAAGAAAAACAAAAGAAAACAAAAGGACGTTATCACATGGCAAATTACACTTGAACTTACTCCATGTTATGATAACATACTTAGAAAAATGTTAATACAGAAAAATAATACGGACTGAAAAATACAGGAAAAGTTGGAATAAATTACTAACAAATCTGAATCATAGCTCTAAACATTAACTAATACTAATTGTAACCTGCCTGTGTTTAATCGAATTCTTGAAAAGTTTGTACTCTTAAATAAAACATTACGGTGTTAAGCAACTTCTAATCCATATAAAGAAATTCATTTTAAAAATAAAGAGATATGCTTAGGAATGCATACACAGGTTGGCAAACGATGAAACGATGACCCTGAGATCAGAAAAGTGGTTAACTCTTGCGGGAAGAAGAAAATTGTAAGCAGGGAAGGGTATAGAGAATGATCACGGTTCTGTTTGACTTGGATAATAGTTAAACCAATACCCAACCCACTGTCATAGAGTTGATTTCAATTCATAGTGACCCTATAGGACAGAGTAGAACTTCCTCATAGGATTTCCAAGGCTATAAGTCTTTACGGAAGCACACTGCCACCAATTTCTTCTAAGCAGCTGTAAGCTCTAACTGTCAACCTTGGTTAGCAGCAGAACACTTTAATTACTATGACACCATGGCTTCTTGGATAATAGTTAACAACAACAACAAAAAAAAAACTTACTCCCATTGAGTCGGTCTTGACTCATAGCAACCCCTCCTTGGGTTTCCGAGGCAGTATCTCTATGGAAGTAGATTGCCCAATCTTTCTTCTGAGGAGTAGCTGGTGGATTTGAACCGCCAGCCTTCCGGTTAGCAGTCAAATGCCTTAGGCAGTATGCTACCAGAGCTCCCTGGCTAATAGTTACTGGGTGTTTATTTATAAAAATATCCATATGTTTTATCTTCTTTTCTGAAACTATGTTATTTTCCCAGTTATAAATGAGAATCAGAAATCATAACTTCCTATTCTGATTTTATAAGAATCAAAACAAATATCGACTACAAATAATGATACTTTTGTGCCAAAGAAATGAATACTCTCATAGGATATCAAGTACTTCGAAATAACTGGGCTTAAGTGAACGTGGCTGTAGAACAGACCTGGCTACCTGGCTCCAAATGCCAATTTCTACAACTACAGTATAATTAGGGGTAAGTCATTTCACTTCCAAGTCTGGTTTCCTATCTTAAAAATGGACCACATACCTTTCCAGGAATATTCAGGACTAAACAGAATGTATTTAAACCTCAATATCTGGCATATATGTTGTTGTTGTTATGTGCC